ATTTGCTTTATGCAAGGATTTTGTCAGTCATGCACGAACTTATGCTTCAGATCTTTCTCTGTTAATGTTCTTGAGTAATCAAATAGTTTCTTGGGTTTTTTTTATTTTTAGGAAGCATTTAATACTTTAAAGGTTTTAATTGGAGTTTAATAGTTTTTTCACTGGCTTGGGTCAGTATCAGTTTTGATAGTAACTAATGGTGAGGGTTCTGACTATAAATGTGACTTCTGTAAAACTGGTAATGCAGTTAGAACTTGCAAACCTGTAACTTTCTTTGAGCCTTGACTAATACTGATGCTGGGGATACAGTTGCAAATGCTTGAGTGTAATCCTGTGTTTTAAAACCAAATAGCAATGTCTTTCAAAACTGATTTAACTTCCAATCATGCCAAGCTTTGAGCATGGGATTTGATTGCATTTCTTAAGTCTGTTGGACACCTTCACCTTTTAGGTCTAATGGTGTACACCCGACTTGTCTGGGAAATTGGCTGGACCTATAGGAAAGAGTGAAATACTTATGTAGTGATACCAGCAACTAACTGGAGAAACTTGGAACTGCTGAAATCCGAAGTTGTGGATAGTGTAAAGATGTTGTACAAATGTGGTATGGTTGGAAAAAAATGCATACATAAAGACAAAAATAAATGAAGGTGAAGCAGGTTGCTGCTGAGAGTGTTTGTCCAGTCTCTTTGGGGGACACTGAAGCAAAGAAGTCATGCTAGCACACCTGCAGCCATGTGAGGCAAGCATATGTGCTGCTAGGTGCAAGGAGGTGCTAGTGTAGAAATTCTCCCTCTCCCTTGCCAACTCTTGTCCTCTGGGAAGGGGAAGTGCTGCTGCAAGAGGTCAGGAGGATGTGGGTGGTGGTGCTTGCTGTGGGGTGGGGTGGGGTGGATGCTGCAGCATGCCCACAGAAGGGCAGTAGTCAGACCACCCCCATCTGCCCCGAAATGGAGTTTAGGAACCCAAGACAACGCTGGGTTGTGAAACCATGACATGGAGGACTACCTCGACAATCCCTGCTGGGACCTGCCTCCCTCCTCTAGCCAAGCCCCCATGCCACTTTCTTAGGTCTTGCAAGGCATTAAATGCTCTGCTCGGTGGGCCAGGCAGGTTACTGCATAGCTGCAGAGGAGAACATTGGAAAAGTGAACACCTATTGCTGGAAGCATCATCTACCCTTCCTGATCACCTTACCTTCTCTAAAACAAACAGAGTTTTAGGTTGGAAAAGACCTCTGAGGTTATCACATCCAACTTAAGACCGAACATCACTGTGTCAGTTAGACCATGTCACTGCCGTGTCCAGTCTTTCCTTGAACAGCTCCATGCATGGTGACTCCCCCGGTTCCCAGCAAAGCTCATTCCAATCTCCAGTCACCTTTTCTGTAAAGAAATCTTCCTGATGTCTGGCCTAAACCTCCTCTTCTGCAGCTTGAGGCCACATGTCCTCTTGTTCTGTCACTGTTTTCCCCAGTTGGAGAAGAGACTGCCCCCCACCTGGCTACAGCATCCTTTCAGAGAGTTGCAGGGAACCTGATGTCACCCCTGAGCCTCCTTTTCTCTGGGCTGAACAAGCGCTGTTCCCTCAGCTGCTCCTGAGCTCTTCAGCAGCTCCATCAATCATCTCTGGGCATACTACAGCACCTCACTGTTCTTCCTGAATTGAAGAACAGGACACTGATCTCAAGGCCTCACCAGTACCAAGCTGGTTGCACTCTTGCTGATACAGGCCAGGATGGCATTGGCCTTCTTAAACACTTGGGCACACTCCCAGCCAGATGCTGGCCAGCACCTGTAGGCTCTTTTCCACTAGGCCTCTTTTCAGCTACCCTGCCCTAGCCTGCATGGGGTTGTTGTGACCCAAGGGCAGGACCTGACACTTGGCCTTATTAAACCTCACACCTTTGGCCTTTGCCCATGAATCCAGCCTGTCCAGATCCCTCTGCAGAGCCTTCTGCCCTCCAGCAGATCAACACTCCCACACAGCCTGCTGTCATCATTGAATCATGCTGAGTACAGTCGATCTCACACAGATCGTCAAGAAAGATTTTAAACAGGATTGGGCCAAATACTAATTCCTGAGGAACACCACTTGTGACCAGTCCCCATCTGGATGCAGAACCATTCACCTCCACTCTCTGGGCCTGGCCATGCAGCCAGTGTCTAACCCAGCAAAGAGTGCTCCTGTCCAAGCTGTGGGCTGCTAGCTTTTCCAGGAGTATGCCACGGGAGATGGTGTTAAAGGCTTTGCTGAACTCCAGGTAGACAACATCCACAGCCTTTCCCTCATCCTCTGGGGAGGTCACCTGGTCATAAAAGCAGATCAGATTGGTCGGGCAGGACCTGCCTTTCCCAAAACCGTCAAAAACTGGGCTGGGCCCAGTCTCCTGATTTTCCTGCATGTGCTGTATGATCACACTCAAGATGAACCATTCCATCCCACTACAGATGCTGACAGGCTTGTAGTTCCCCAGATCCTCCTTCCAACCCTTCTTGTAGATGGACATCACACTGGCCAAACCAGTCATCCTAGACCTCCCTAGTTATCCATGACTGGTGATAAATAATGCAGAGCAGCTTAGTGAGCTCTTCTACCGGTTCCCTCAGTGCCCTTGAGTCTAATGGCTCAGGAGGTCAGTGCTGCTCCCTGTCCCTGTGTACCAGCTCAGGGTCTGGTTGCCTCAAGGGTAATTGGTCTTTCTGTCAAAGACTGATGCAAAGAACCCAAGTATCTCAATCTTTACCTCATCCTTAATGACAATGTCCCCCCATGTGTCCAATAACCAGTGGAGATTCTCCTTGACCCTCCTTTTGTTGTTATAAGTATTTATAAAAACACTATTTCACAGTGGTGGCCAGATTGAGTTTCAGTTAAGCTTTCATCTTTCTAATTTTCTCTCTACATGACCTGCCACTCTTGTACTCTTCTAGAGTTGTCTACCCCTTCTTTCAAAGGTCATAATCTCTTTTCCCTGAGTTACAGCAGAAGCATCCTGTTCAGCCAGGATGAACAGGAAGACCAGGCCAGTCTTCCACGATGGTTCATCATCTGGCATGTAGTGACAGTCTGCTCCTCTGTCTTTCAAGAATTCCTCTTTAAAGCATGGCCAATCTTCATGAGACTTCTTTACTACTAAGTCCTTTGTTTCCCAAGGTACTCCCTGAACCAGCGTCCTGAATAGGCCAAGGTCCACCCTCCAGAAACCCAAGGCAGATGTTTTGTTGACCATGTTCCTTACTTACCTAGGGTTGAAAGCTATCATTTCATGGTCTCTGTGATGGCCTCCAACCACCACCTATCCCACCAGCCCTTCTCTGTTCATGAACAGCAGATCCACTAGGCCACTGTCCCTGGTATGCTCATATTGTAACTTAGGAATCGTGTTCCTCAGTTTAGCATTTCTACTGAAACACTCCAAACCATGCATAACTTGCTCACTCCTCACAGTAGGAAATGGATGAGAATTGGAGACATGAAAGGTGAAGATCAAGGGTTGATAAGAACAATTTACTGGAAACAGCAGTGAGGTAAGAAATGAACAGCATCAATATTAATATGGTGTTCAAGAAAGATGATCAATTCACATGCAAATGCCCACCCTGTGAAACCCGATGTTACCCTGACCGGAAAGGACCCCCTTCTGCCCACCATGTATGGTGTGAGGTGGTACAGGATATCTTCTGGGTCTGGGTTATGCCCCTCCCAGCTAGTGCAAAAAATAACTGTCCTGGCCACAACCAGGACAGCTCACTTGCCAGCTGTTCTTTGTCTTCTGCACACTCCAGGAACCTCCTAAACTGCCGCCTCTCTCCTGTTGATGTTTTCAGTAGACATCCCACAAATTAAAGTCTCCCACAAGAACAAGGGCTAGTGATTGTGAAACACCAGCCAGCTTCTTATAGAACATTTCATCCACCCTTTATCCTGTCTGGGTGGTCTGCAACAGAAGCCCCATGGGATTTCTGCCTTGTTGGCCCTTCCCCGATCCTTACCCATAGGCATCCAAACTTATCATCACTGCCCTTGAGCTCTGCACAGTCAAAACCCTCCCTCCCTAATGTACAGAGCCACCTCCCTGCTTCTGCTTGCCCGCCTGTCCCTTCTGAAGGAAGAGCTTCTTACCATCATTGCAGCACTCCAGCCATGAGAGCCGTCCCACATTTCTGTAATGGCAAATATGTCAGAGTTCTACTGAAAATTTCAGTTCTGCACAGCCATAGTGGCCAAGGCTCACAAAGGAAGCCTCCAGAGACTTCCCTGAAATCTGCCATATTTACAATGGTAAATAAATGTAGAGCTACAACCCTAGAACATGTTCCCTCACTTCAGCAATTCCCACATGCATTCCCCAACAGCTGCAGGAATTAGAATTTGGAAATTGAACTTGGAATTCACTCTACTGAAAGCAAGTATCATTCAGGTGCATTTAAAAGAGCTCTACCATGGAATGCTACTTCCCTCTTGCCCCGAGGATAGGGCTTGATCCTTGGTCTCTGCTTCAAAAGTTGTGGGGAAAAAAAAGAAAAAAAGATGTAGAGAATACATGTAAGGACGCTATCCTGAGAAATATGGTAGCGACATGTCAGAACTTCCCAAGGAAGCAGGCAGCTTTCCTTTTAAGAGAGAATTCACCTTTATGAAATTGTGCATCCAAGCCAAAGGAGTCTGCCACATTATAAGGTCTCCACCACCAGACGTGCTGCTCTACCAGCTTGTTGCCCTCTGCCTGCCCATGACCAGTAACTGAAAACCAGACAACAGTCAGGAGAAAATGGAGCCTTTCTCCTGATGTGAGCAGAAAGGCAGTGGGAAGTTCACCTTCATCAGTGCATCAAGTACAATGATACAAACTTTTGACTAAGAAGATACCAATTGTTGAACGGTTGCAAACGTGCAATATTCTACCGTAAGATCTAGCTTAAAAGCCAAAGCCCACTGTTCTTCACAGAGCTTCTTGCAACTGAAAAATAGAACACTTCATAGAATCTGGCAACAGCTTGTTCATAATTATCATTTATTTGACTGTAATACAAAATACCATTAAAAACAAAGCAAAATTTAAAAAATAGGTTAACATTACATCTTCTCATAAGTTAATTCATGGCCACATACAGTGCATGTCTTTTTATATGTATCTTCATCAATGTTCTCTTCTGGTCCATATTCATGTTCGTGGATACTAGCTGCTTTCTTCCACAAACTACTCCTCACAGCACGGCGGAGTTCTGGTAAGAAATACAAGAAAAAATTAAGATTTTAATAAATCTTAAATAATGTTTAATAAAACTCAAGCTAACCAGCTTCTTGAGGCCTACAGATGACAATACGCTTGCTGCCTGTCTTCCACAAAGTCTGGGAATGAATCTGCTCTTGCAAGAACAAGCTCTGACTTGCCTTGCAATCCTCACCTTGTTTGCATATTTTAAAGGCCAAGAACTACACTGTCATAGGATCTCACAGTCCGTTTTCCACGTGGACTAAGGACATGTTGCTTGCTGCCTTTTTACACAAAGCCATTCAAATGTATCCAAAAGGGGTCGGTGGAATGCAAAGGAGAAGTTTTTATAGAACACCTCATTTATTTTACGTGACCAAGAAAGAGTCATTTTCATTCAGGTCACAGTAAGCCTCCCAAATGACTTGGCATTCTCTAAGCTTTATGCCCAATAATATGAGTTGCCTCTGCAGCATCCGCAGTGAAATCCGTGGGTTCTCTAGAGCGCACAAGCTGGCAGCAGGGCCCAAGATATTATCCGGATGTTGCAAGCGGGTGGCAAGAATACTGAACAGCAAAATGTGGTCACATTTTGAGCCAAGCCATTCAAGTTGCAAACTTTGTCACGTTAAGGCCCGTACTAGCACTGAACTCTGGCATCTTGGCTACAGTCTTCTGCCAGTCCTTCTGTGCGCACATCAATGGCCCAGATGGGTTATTTGTGCAGTCTCAAGTTCTGTGTCCTTCAGACAATATCAGTACAGCCAGCTTAAGATTTCTGCCCTTCTAAATGCCACCCCAAAGTAAAGCATGGATGCTATAGATGGTACAAAAGGTTCCACCCATCAAATACAAGTACTGATTTATCAGGGAAAAAACCCGAAGGATAATGTGCAGTAAAGAGCACCTAGGAATGCTGTGAATAGGAAAATCCGTTTTCATTACCGCTCTCCACCTGACGGCTATCACAGAATTATAACCCACTGTCACAAAAATCCGTCTTCCCCAAGTCAAAAGTACCAGGAGCAATCCATGGCACATTCTGGGTCATACCCCAAGATTTGAAAAACACTATAATGAACCATTGTAATTGATTTCTATCACATCATGTCCACAGGACAACAGGGGAATTCAAGTTGGAAGGGACCTCAAGTCCTGCAGTCCAACACTGCCCAAAATAGGGAGCTATGAGGTCACACCAGACTGCTCCAGGCTGAACCCACGTCTTGAAAACCTCCATTTCACCACACTGAATATTTTCTCAGTAATTTAATCATATGCAGCAGGTTTAAACAGAACTGTACTTCCCTTCAGGTACTGAAATATGTAATTTTAACACTTTACCTTTAACTTTCTTGTCAAACTTCTTCTGTTTCATCTTCTCTCTGCTGTCACGGCGGAGCTCCTTTGCTTCTTGCAATGCTTCTTCGCTACCCCAGACTTCAAGTGAACGCTTGATTACCTACAGGATGGACATAAATGCCTTTTTTTTTTCCCCTGAAACGATAAAAGTGAACTATTCTAACTTACAAATTTAATTTCTCCCTACACATACATAAAACAACCCCACCCGCCTCTGCACTTTACTCACAAAAGACTGCACTCCTTCCACAGGAAGAGGCTGGTTTTTAGTATCAGCTGGATATAACTTAGGAAAACTTAAATCCAGCTCCTAATTTTGCCCATATTTTACTAAAGCAGTATGATTCCTATGAAGTACCAAACAAGAAAAGACAAGAGCCTGGGAAATCCACTTGCTTTTCCTGCCGCCTTTGCAGGCAAAGCTGTGAACACAGCTACAAAAGGCCACGCACAGCTGCGGCTGCCCCATGCACTTCAGAGAAAAACTGAAGGGCCACATGCTTTGTGACTCGTAATTGTGCAACCCACTGAAGTTCTGCTCAATGAACATCTTTAAAATGCTCTCAAAACCAGACATTTTCACAACTTAGACTGCAACCATTTAACTATAACAAGCTATTAATAACACACTCAGCTTTGACAAAACCATTCGGGTACCAAGTGACAACCAAAGCTGTATAAAGGTAAAGGTCTGAAACACACTAAGTTTCTATACCTGTAGTTTTAAATAAAGTTTCATTTCACCCCATCGTGAATTATGAGGGTTTTTCTTCACAATGAATCTGAGCACTGGCTCCCTCTTGTCTAAGTCACAGTCTTTAAGCAGATACTCTTCTTTTGCTTCTGTCCTTGTTATAAGCTTATGTTTATCTTCAACATCTCTGGAAGATGTAAAATAATGGTGAGAAAGCTACACCCTAAAACCACAGGTTATTAACATCTCAGTCCCCATCCCTTCGAACATTCTTGAAATACAGGTAAGCCCTAATCCCTTCAGTTTTTTATGCATGCAAATAACTTTGGATTCCAACAGCCTAGCTAAACTACAGACTAGATTTACTGAAATTAAGTGTTTAAAAATTCCCCCCATTTCAGCAAACACATGCTGAGAAGCCTGTTCTTCTAGAAAGGCTTTTCTTCTATTTTCTTACTAGAGGGAATAACTGAAACTTAAAATGAGTATGAGTAATTTCAGGTTATTCACCTAACCCAGATGGAACCCAAGAGGACAGAAGTATGAGCCTCACATGGTCAAGACAGAAAAAATGTGTAATGTGAGACAGGTCAGATCACCTGAGAATATACACACTCCATATACTTCTAGATCTCAGAAACTGATTAGCAACACAGACAGAGTACTTCTTTCTATAATGCAACACAGCAGGCAGAGGAACCATAAAATAAAGACTTTTAAAAGACTGCAGCCTTTACCAGATAGATAGTGAAAAACTGTAACCACAACAGCATTTATGAGTTAATGGAAAAAGTTACCTTTACGCAATCCTGACTGAAGTACAACTTGAATGGCTTGAGCTAAACAATCTGCCAAACACTAAGCACTAACAACGGTCATCAAGGAAGCACTGCCCTAAATGTATCTTTACTAGAATTCAAAGTTCACAGTTACAGCTAATGCACCAAGGACACTACCATTAGCTGCAAAAGCTTAGACCCAAGGAAAAGTACTCCACAGGCTCCAAGTCCTGTCCTTAACGTCCTTTTCCTACCCATTTTAACTTCCGAGAAACAGAACTTTGCCTCCATAATGACTGTGAATTGCCTACACCACGTGCACACCCTTAACCACTCCCTGCAGTAAATGGGCAGGCTCCCAGAACAAAACTCTTAACTGCCTGTTTTTTTTCAATTCACTCGATTCATTCTTACACACAGGGTGGCCGGCCGGCTGCTGCAGTTGGTTTCATTGCCCTGGTTATCTTGATGGCTTTTGGAGCGTTTTCTGTGCTAAAAGATAAGAGCTTGCTCTCCTCTCAAGGTCAAACTCCTGCTTACCTCGCAGGCCAACCAGTAACCTCCCATGGGGGCTCTGCCCTTTGGCTGCTGTGCTTCCAGCACGCCCATGCTGACCAAAGTACCAACTCCACTTGAGCTAAAACACCAGGACCACAAACCTTTCCTAAATCCTTATTCCACTTCAAAGAGATTATTGTGCTCCGTCAGGTTTTCAAACGGCTCTAGTCTGCAGCCAGACATAAATTTTCACACTGACAAACACACCAACTGCTCTCATGACATCCTATTTCCATAATGTTGTATGAAAATCCACTGATGTCCCCTACCTAAGGCAGGCTTATGAGACAATATGTGATTCAATTCCATAGTGGAAAATGCACAGGCCATCAGTCAACTTTCATTTAAATTTTTTTAAGTTACTGAAATATGTCTCTCTGCTGACAGTCTCTTTAAATGACTGTAATTCATTGAATTATAGCCGGCAATCTTTATGTAAAGATTTATGTAAAATAGTGTTTCTCTCTCCTGATTATTTGTAATACCTGCAATTATCACATGTTGCCCAATCAAAGTGCTGCATAAGGTAGGAGTCCATGAATTCTTTGCCACAGTCTCCACAGATGAAATAGTCAAATTCTAGTACGGGTGCTAATGGAAAGAAATATTTTTTTAAGGGACTACAATGATAAAAACAAGCATCTAGAATTGGTATTACAGGCAATTTTACTAGAATTCACATAATCGTATTACAAACTAGTTTCACTCTATCAAAGTTTTTCAGAATACAATACAAATTCAAAGCCATTACCACACAATTCCATCTCTGTTGGAGTATTTTCTTGTTGTAGGTTCACTGTTAAGTACTAAAACATTAAAATGCACATTTAACTTAGCCATTGTTAAAAAAAATTCTCCACATTTCTCTCACAAAGTACTTCAAATCCTCTCCTACCATTTCCTCTGTTCTGACCCTCCCAAAATATGCCCTAATCAATAGAGGACATGCGGGCAGAAACAGGAGGAAGCAGAGAAGGGATTCAGTTTGAAGAGGGTGGCTAGAGCAAGAAACTACAGGAGCTGCGCTGGCATCATAGTTCTCTCAGCTCTGCTCCAGTTTTTTTCCTAGCTCAGCCACACCTGCCTCTCCCTGAACGAGCTCAGTGGAAGCCTGGGGCAGTTGGCAAGGTTCTTGTCCGTTCCAGCTGGCAGAAACGGAGGTGGATGGCCAGAGAGCTGCTAGGAGTGGAATGGGGATGGAGCTCCACTACAATCCTCTCCCCAAGCCCTCTCAGCACTGCTCCAAGCCCAGACTCATCTCAGCGCCAGCCACTGCTTCTGGCCGCATCCTCAACGGGCGGATCACCTCCAGCGTCATCACCATCTGCTTTTATGTTCCATGGGACACCAAAAAACACCGATTCAGGGGATGAGAGCTATAAGGGATATTCCTTGAACAGTAACATTGGAATTCTATCAGAAAATTAACATTTCTATACAGTTTTGAAATCTAAAAGCTAGGCAGTGCTGTGAAATTTTAGGAGCACCTGAAGCAGAAGATTAATGGTTGACATGCAGCACTATACATTTTAATTGCGTTTGCACTTATAGCAGATCCGATCCAGCAAAGACGACATTTTATGTAAATTCAGTCCTACTAGCGACAGCCGGATGCTCAGTACTTCACAGTCATTTCATACTCTTACATCACATTCCATCATGTAAGGCATTGCTCCCGAACACGAAGACATTTTATTAAGACAATGACGTTATGAATTACACAGCAAAAAATACGCCCAGTGTAAAGGCATCCCAGATCTACTTTAATTTATTGTTAAACATTAGCCCATCAAAAGAAGCAGGGCTGCTAATTGTTTACACTGTTAATGAAATCTGGTGCTGATTTCTAACAAAGAGATACACTGCACCAACAGCCCCGCAGCTGATTCAAGCAGAACAAAGCAAGACAAAGACAATCCCAGAGAAGAAAGTCGATCTATTCTGGGACCCTTACTTCTCCATTTGCTTTTTTTGTGGGGGAGAATATCGCAAGGCAATGTGCTGAAATCCTCCACCGAACGATCAGTAACTTGGCGCCAGCACGTTTTATAACGATAAAAGCTGGCACTGCAGCAGCGCTCCGGTCTTGGCACAAACCACATAAATCCCAAAATTCCCACAACCGACGAAGTCGCGAAAATTTACCCTCATGTCGGTCTTAAAATTTAAATTCCCCAAAAGAAATAAGAGAAATAACGTTTATGAGGGAGAAAAAAAAATTAAAATGTGCTATACCCAAGGGCACTGGCTGTGTCCCACTTCTGCGGCTTAAAATTCTTCATTTTTAATTACCGCGCATTTGCTATAGCCGATTCGATTTAATGCTGAAAAGAATCGGACGCGCCACTAATCGAGCACATCCAGAAAAATGTGTGAAGGAGGAAAAGGGGTGGCAACAAAAAAAAAAAAAAAAAAAAAAAAAAAAAAAAAAAAAAAAAAAAGAGAAAGAACAAGAGGGTAAGAAAGGAGAG